AAAACAAATTAGTCTACAAGTTAAAAAAAAATATAAATTTGAAAATACAATTATAATAAGTATTTCAATATTGTTGTGGAAGATTTAAAAAATAATTATTATTTTGGAAGAGATTTACTGTTCTCATAGAGATTTGTTAACTGTAAATGCTAACATATAGAATAACACAGGAATATAATAATATAATAAATTTTATAAAATGAATTGAGATCATCCAAGTAGTAAAATCTCTTTTTGTGGTCGAACTGTTTCTTCGGTTGAACTTTGTCCCACTAAATATAAATGATCTTCTTATGTAGCAAGCAGTATGCATAAACAAAGTAATGATTTACAATAAGAAATTGATCTGCCGAAAGAATAATCAATCTAACAAAGAGCTGTTGACCTGGTTCACAAGTAAATCTAATTACTAGTTGATAAGCCGCAAAAGAGGTGAGTTAAGTAAAAGTTGTTAATTTTATAGATTATTCAAACATAATTTACAGTTAATAACCAAACAATAATGAAGTCAACTAAATAAAGAACCGATACTGTGTAAACAATGTGTGAAAGATTTACATTCTAAACATAAAATTGGAAACAAAGAATTTAAAGTATAAACTTGATAAATTCATAAAATATATTTCTTATTCATATTCTCTCTTCTTTTATATAATAATTTACAGTTTTGATATATTTTAAAAATTCACAATAAAATATTATACTGAAATATATATATTTAAATGAAATTGATAATAATAAAAATGATTTCTTCATTAAATTATTTCTATCATTTCAGGTGCAATATTTATTGGATCACGGTGCTGATATCGAGAAAAGTAATCAGGTAGGAATGACAGCACTTCATCATGCTGCTAAAAATGGCCATGCTAATATTGTTCGAATACTTGTTCAACGTGGTGCAAATTATCAAAAATTAACGTACGCCATTTGTAACATAAATATTATCATATCTCTCTTATCATAGACTACTCTATTTGTCAATAAAAATTAATATTAACTTATTTTAAAAAAGAAATAATTATGATTACTATAATGTTATCTTTAAATGCTAAATGGTTTGAAAATAATTAAATTTAAATGTTATTATATTTTGAGAAATAAATATTTGTTATGAAAAAAAGAGAAAAAAATAAACAAATATGTTATGCGATGAAATATATAAGTGCAATCTATGCAATCCACATTAATTATCCACGTATTAAATATAATTTACGTGAAAAAACGGAATTCTACAATCTATATATGTGGTTACTAAATGTAGTTTACGTCAAAAAAACTCTACATTCTACATATGTTTACTTACATATTAAGTAAAGTTTACGTGAAAAAGGACTTGATATCATTTGCATATTATCAATTCCTATTTCCATTTCAAATTTAACATTTTAGATATCTTGGTGCATCAGCGATGACTTTAGCAGCTGCTAGTGGACATACTGATCTTATCAAATTGCTTCTCGATTTAAATGTTAGTGTTAATCCAACACATACAGCATTATGTCCAACACCAATAATAGCTGCAGCTTTTCGACGACACACACATTTGTGTGCTCTCTTATCACAAAAGTATATTACATTGTTTGTTCATTTAAATTACATATTTAAAAATTTATTTACAATTTTTGTTAATTTAAATCATATTAAAAATTTGTTTATAATTTTTGTTAATCTAAATTACAAATTAACAAAATTTATTCTGATAAATTTTGTTAATTTGTGCTATATTTACAAATTTATTTACAAATTTTTGTTAACTTAAATTGCAAATTTAAAAATTTATCAAATTGACAAAAAGAAAAATTAGAAAAAGAACAAAAACATCAATGTTATATAAATTATATATTCCATAAAATATATATCATAAAATAGTATATAATAAAACAAAAAAAAAAGTAAATTTGAATATAAATTATAAAGAGGTGCATATTTGGATGGTAATATTCCACGTCTTTCAAATCTTTCCGCACTTTCAACAGCAATCACATGCGGTGCGACAACAATTGTTGGTGCATTACTTGAACTCGGTGCTAATCCATCATTTCGATCGTTAAATGGTATGACATCAACTGAACTTGCACAGCATTTACAGCAGAATGAAGTATTAACTGTAATTAATTCAACATTTCGAAATATTTTAAAAAAAGGTAACTTTCTTTTTTTGTTTTTGTTTTTTGTTTTTAATAAATTGAAATGTTTCGAAATATTTTAAAAGGTATTTTCCTTTTTGCATTTATGTTTTATTTGATTGTTTTGTTTTTGTTATTATTAAGAATAAAATAACACTTATAATTTCTTTTTCTTTCGCATTTTAATATAAAAATTAAATTTGCGTAGTATTTAAAAAATTTTATGCAATTTGCTCAAAAAATAATTTAAGCTTGCAAAAAAATTATGCCCTATTGTATTTTATTTTTTTAATTAATTAATTGATTTTATTATCATTTTATTTTCTTTTATTTTATCGTATTTTATTTTTGTAATTAATTAAATGATTAATAAATTGATTAATTAGTTCTGTTATTATTTAATTTTCTCTTATTTTATCGTATTTTATTTTTGTAATTAATTAATTGATTAATAAATTAGCTAATCAATTAATTCTGCTATTTATTTATTTATTTATTCTTTCAAATTGATATAATTTTAAGAAGAGGAACAAATCGAAGTGGACTTACGACAACTCATTTATCGCAATGATGAAAATGCTATCCGGATGATACTTGATCGGCATTTATCGTATGTTCCATTTCCGGAAAATACTACACCATTAATGTATGCTGTACTTTTAGCTGATATTAATATTGTAAGTTAATACTTTATTTTCATTTTTAATTATTTTAATTATTGGTTGTCGTCACATAAATTTTGTATTATAAAAAAAAATATTAATTTAATTAATTGAAATTAATTCATTCTGTATAGGTGAAAATCATTCAAGAATCAAATATTACTGACATTAATGCTGCTGAAAATGTTTCCGGATTAACAGCTCTTATGTTTGCTGCTATTATTGGGTATGTTATAAATTAATTAATAGTGATTCAAATTAAAATTTTGCTTTTAAAAAGTATCTTCCAGTTATCATATAAATTCTGTTATAATGCAATATGAAATAGATTTTTAAATGAATATTTCAAAAAACTGAGCATAAATTTTCAGCTAATCAAAAAAATAAAATAAAAAAAAGCGAAACGACAATTTAAATTAAATACCTAAAATTAAAATTTAATTTTTAATCAATGAAAGTTTGCTAAATTAAAGCGTTTTATAGTGATTATCAAATTAGAATATTAAAAAATTATAAAAATTTTGCTAATCATGCAAATAGGCTATTATCAATTGATAAATGACAACTTTTATCATTGTTAATACTTCTTAATTCCTTAGCTAATATTAATAAAAAGCTAATATTATTAATTAATATATAATTAAAATAATAATTAGTATTAATGAAAAGTTAGCTAATATTAATAAAAAAACTAACATTGATAAACTTAATAAAATTAAAAAAAAAAACAATTTGAAATAATAATTAATTGATTGGAAATAATTTTGTTAGAAATTATGAAGTTATGGAATATTTGATAAATTTTGGCGCTGATATTTCATTAATATCATTTGACGGATTTACAGCTATCGATTATGCATTTGCTATAGGTAATGCAATTGTTCATTTCTATATTTATTTTTACAATCGTTTTTTTTTTAATTTTAAAATAAAAGAAAAAATATATTATAAATTTAATAATATTTCTAAAAGAAGAAAAATATATAAAAATATCAATTTTAATTTGATTATTAGAAAATTTGAAAATTTTACTTACTGATATAATTGATATTTGTTTATGTAACATTTTTATCATTTATCATCTCAATAATTTCTTAGATTTCATAGAAAAAAAAAGATTTCTTAGAAAATAATTCTTATAAAAAGATTTAACTTTTTTTTAAAATTATTTTTTAAAGGTAATATAAATGCTGATTTACTTTGTTTACTACAACAACCACCTGGACATGGTACTACATCATCACATCGTATCAACACTCATCAATATCAACATTTAAGTCGTGTAATTTATAGTAGTAAAACAAAAATTGTATGTTTATTTTTTCTAAATTTTAATTATAATTAATTAATTAATTAATCAACTAAGAAAGAAGAATATCAATGGTCATCACAATTAACACTTAAACCATAAAACTTAATGTAAAATGAACATTATATGTCTATTTTTTCTAAATTTCATATAATTAATTAATTAATTATGTAAAAAAATTGCCTGCTAATTGCATTATTGATGAATAGTTATCATTAAAAAAACTATTAATAGATGCTTATCATAATTAACACTTAAGCTGTATTACTTAAAGTAGTAAAATGAAAATTTATTTACTTAGTTTTTCTAAAATTTACATAATCAAGTTAGAAAAAAGACTGGAAAACTAGTTGTGATTTAGTTAATTATTGATTAAAGTTTTATTAATTAACTAGTTATAAAACATAATTAATTATCGTTTATTTTGATAATATCACAACTTCAACTGAACTGAGTCATTTCTATGTTATCAATTAATTATTTGATTAATTTATGATAAGCAACTAGAAAATTACCCCAGCATATTCTAAAAGATTTGTAATGAAAACATATTAGGGTGATTAATACTTAAAATTATATCAATTATATTAAAATATAATAAAATATCCTTTTTTATGCTCAGTAAATTTAAAAAGAAAAAATTATTGAAAAATTTCATTTTTGCTCATAAATATTGAATTATTTCCATTTATATTTTTAACTAATGATTATGATTAATGATAATTTCATGAAAAGAAAGCAAAAAAAAATATTAATTAATAAATTTAATTTGAATATAAAGTTCTGAGGTGAATAAATTATTCAACAGAAGAAAAAAAAAAGATTAATTAAAAAGATTTAATTTTAATAAAAAATTTTTAGCTGAATAAATTATCCAGTCATGTTGGTCGTGCTAGTAATATGGGAAATTATTATTTGGACAGCAAGGAAAAGTTACATTTTAGCAGAGCGCACTTGGCTAAACTTGTGAAAATTCATCAAAATGATGATAATGATGAATTTATTTTGGCTAATGATATTCTCAAATCGATTGGAAATGAAAAAATTGGAAAAAGTGATCGATTACATCGTTACATTGAAGTTGCCAGATTTGTTGCTGAAGTATGAATTAATTTTAATTAATCAATTTAATTTGTTGCTGAAGTATGAATTAATTTTAATTAATCAATTTAATTTGTTGCTGAAGTATGAATTAATTTTAATTAATAATTTAATTTGTTGCTGAAGTATGAATTAATTTTAATTAATAATTTAATTTGTTGCTGAAGTATGAATTAATTTTAATTAATAATTTAATTTGTTTAATTATTAATCATGGGAACAATTAATTTACATAGAAATGAATAATTATGTTAATAAATTTTTTTTTTTCATTTTAGTATTAATAGCTATACAATTTTGAATTTTTTAAACAAAATAAAAGACAAAGAAAAAAAAATTAGATAAATGAGATTACAAAATTTATTTTTTTTAAAAAAAATTGTTTTTTTTTTTTTTTGAGAATATTTGAAAATTTTTGAATTAAATGTGCATTATTTGAAAAGATTAATGTATTTAATTTAATTTTTTTTTCTTAAACATTATAAAAAAGATTTTTTTACATTAATTGAAAAGCTGAATGCTTTTAATTCATTTCAGTTTACTTTTACTTTAATTCATTAATGTATTAAATTCATTTCAGAATTGTGCTAATCAAGGAATTATTAATTTACCGGTGGTATTTACATTAAATAAACATAACTTAGAAAAAAGTAATTCGATCAATTATGGTCCATCATTGGAGCAAATAACTTCTACCGGTACAGCAATCAATCATAAACAGCGGAATTTTTTATCAGTTGCTCAATGGAATGCTTATTTATACTATGTAAGAGAGAGAGAGAGAGAGAGAGAGAGAGAGAGAGAAAGGGAAAGATAAAAAATAATAGTAATTTTAAATTTTTTTAAAAAATATTTTTATTTCTATCTAGCACTATTATTATTTTTCTAGCATTTTTTTAAATTGAAAAAAAAAAACAAAAACAAAAACAAAGCTAAATAAAACAACAAAGAATTAATATTATCAAAACAAATCACACAAATTATAAAATAAATTTTTTTTTTTCTTTCATTTTGATTTTTTTTTAAAAAAAAAAAGTAAAATATTATAAATCAAATTTATGATAAAATATTAAGATTTAATCAATATTTTTTCAATAAGAATTCTTTTAAAAAAAAAAAAAAAATGTATTTTTTAGGAATGTCGTTTTTTGAATAGAAATTTTGGTGGAACATTTTTGAATGCTAATAAAAGACGTTATTTATACGATGATAATGATAGTCGAGAGATAAGCTCATCAACATCAGCTTCAGATAAGAAATTTTTATCACTATTTCAATTCCATTAATAATTTAATTATTAATTTATAAAAACAATTTAAATTTTTCGTTAAAAAAAATTTACAAATGAATGAGAAATTATTAAGCTATGATAGAATTATTTTATAATAAAAATACAAATTTAGAAAAAAAAAATGTTAATTATTGTCATAAAAATTTTTCATTTAAAGTTTTCGTTTCTTTTTTTTAAATTTTATTAATTTTAGATCGTTCATCATCAATGCTTTCACGTCATTATACGTCATTGGAACGTCATTCCTCAACGCATACACTGGGTACTATTCCACGATTTCGTAGTCGATCACGTGAAACAATTAAGCGTAATAATAATTATGATGAAAATGATGATGGCCGTAATTCACCATCACGTTCATCCTTAAATCAATATATTTTTTCTGATGAAGATGGCGAACGTTTGAAAAAGTAAATTTAATTTTTTTGAAGTTTTTTTTTGAGAGAAAAAAAACTAAATTAAAATTAATTAATTAATTAATTAAAAAAAGAAAAAAGCGATACTATCATTATGAAAATGTATTTGAAAGAGCTAAAAATTATTTTAAATAATACAATTTTAAGAATATATATAAGACATTTACAACGATTAATTTAATACATATTTTTCTATAATACTAACTATCTTTATTTTTAACTTTTAACCAATCAATTTTAATTTTGATCCCATAAAAAAGTAAATTAATTGGATGATGCTAAATGCTTAATTAAATTTAATTTATTTCTTTTACTGAACAATTATTTTAGAGGAAATTTGTTGATAATTTTGCAATTAATAATTCATTCATTATTTTAGAAATTAATTAATAAATTAATTTTAATTTGCTCCCGAATAAATCGATTTTATCATTCGTTTAACTTTTTTCATTTTTTATCCAATACTTTATCTTTTACTAATACTCTTCCACTAACAAAATTTTTTACCTTTTGCCTAATAATTTAAAAAAAAAAACATTTATCATATATTATAATTTATTTTATAAAATAATTTGTAGAAGTATTTCTACGCCAACGCTTGATAAGCTTATTTGGCGGTGTTCTTTGAATGATAACGCTGATATGAACGGAATGAAATCTAAGATAAACGATCGATCATTAGCAAGAGGTGCTACCTATGATAATGCTTATCATGAACGAATGAGACAAAAAATTACTGAAGGTATAAAAATTTTGATCATTTTGTGATTTTTTTTTTTTTATAAAATTAAATATCAACAATTAAACATATTAATTTGAAATTTTTAATTTAAATTTCAGCTTTAATTATTGTAAAAAAATTTATTCATAACCATATAAATTTATTCTTTTCATTATAGTATCAATTTTAAATTTAAGAAATTTAAATTTAATTTTTCTAAAATTTTAGAAAAAAAAATTTTTTTTTTTTGATACATATGTAAATGACTCTCTTTTTTTTCATTATACCATTGGATATACATTTGCTTACTTTTACATATTTTTTTTCTATTAAATGAATTAATTTAAAAATTAAAAATAATTTTGTGTTTAATAGAGTAGCGATAAATTTTTGTTTACTAGCAAATGAATATTTTAATTATTACTAAAGGAAAAAAGAAAAACTTTTACTTTTACTCTTTCTTATCATTTTTATACTTATAAATTTCATATTTATAATTCTTTCAATCAAATTAATGCAATTAATAATGAATGTGCAAGTTTAAATTAATAATTAATTATTCATATGTCATTAAAATCGCTAGTAATTAATAGAACTGTAATTTTTTTTTTTGAATTTAAAAAGTTAAATTATTGAAAATGTATCAATCATAAATCTAATTCATTTATAGATTTAATATGGGAAAAATTAAATGAAGCAGGCCTTGGTAAATATGTTAATTTGCTAAAAGATGAAGAAGTTGATAAAGGAACATTTTTGGCATTAACAAACAATGATCTCATTGATATTGGTATTACTGATGTGATGCATCGAAATAAATTACTTAAAATTATTAAAAATTTAAGGTATTAATAAGTATATTGTTAATTGATTAGTGAAATAATTAATATTTAATTAAAATTGATTTAGTTAAATTGAAAATTTCTTCACCAATTTGTTTTAAAATAGTAGTTAATAATGCATAGGTATTTGAAAATTATAAATTTCTATCCTTTTTTTTTTCTCTCTCTCTTTCTCCCTCTCTCTCTCTCTCGAAATATGCTTATAACTTTATCAGTTAATTGCAATTAATTAATTTATTGAGTAAGCTACTAAAATTATTAAACTAAATTAATCTTTCACTTTTATTATTAGAAAAATGTGTGTAATTTGATTTCTGTAATTATAATTATTGTAATTCTAATTCAAATTCGAATTCTAATTCCAATTGTGCCAGTATGTATATGATATGCAAATGCCTAATTTGTATTAATTTATCCTTTTATTTTTTTAATTTATCTTATTTCTATCTTGTTAGCAATTAATATTTGATTCAACTTCATTTTCATAAAATTAATATTCAATTTATTCATTATTCAATTAAACAATTTATTCAATTAATATTCAATTTAAATTCATTCCTATCCAATTTCTACATTAGGTCTATTCATCAATTATTACTTAATTCAATTTTATTTCTATCTTAATTCCTACGCTTTACACTTCTATCCATTTAGAATTTAACAATCAATATTTGATTCAATTCAATTTCCTATTAAATTACGAACTATTTAGATATCTTTCAGTAATTAATTCCATTTTCATCTGATTTCTATATTAAACCTAATATGTTTTCGATACTTACAAATGTCACATTTCATACATTTGTTTTAAGTATTTGTTAAATTAAATTTTTTGTAATTAAATTTATGTGATTACGTTTTTTTCTCTTTTTTTGCATTCACTCAACTGTTTAAATGAATTTGATTTTATGTTTATTAATTTATTAATTATGGAATGAAAAAGGAATAGCGATTATTTGATGGATAATAACAATTAATGATAATAACTATAATAATTAATAATGGTAATATGAATTTGATAGTAATAGTAATAATAACAAATAATGATAATAAATAATAATAGTAATATTTCAGCCAACTAGTTTTATCATTTTATTCACAATTTCAGCATCGATAATTCCTTATCAATGTTGTCTTATCAATAATTAATTAATTTTATGATGTTATCATATAAGAATATTATAAAGATGGAAAAACTGGATCGATTAGTTCCTAAAAGATTATGATGGCGATGATAATGATTGATAATCTAATAATGAAGTCCATCTTATCAAATTTCTCTTTATTTCAGATATTTAAAATTAATAATACTTTTTTTTCAAACGAATAAAAGAGAAAAAAAATTTAAATTAATTTCAACATTTATTTTCTTCTATAATAACGAAAAAACAAGAAACAAAAGGTAGAAGAAATAAAAATTTTGCTATTTGCATTTTTATTTTTTCAATTCTATATTATCATTAAATAATATTTAAAAGTTGAAAGAAGACGAATGGAGAATGATGGATTTTTTTTCTTTAAAATTTTATTTTCAAGAAAAAAAAACAAACAAACAAACAAATTTATTTATTTTATATACCAAATTAAATGAATAAAAAAAGGATTTCTTTTGTTTTCATAAATTATTCATTTTTTTTCTCTTTCTTTCTTTCTTTTTTTGCCTTATCAAATTAAAAAAAATTAAAATTCGAATGGTTAAAAATTTTATCATTTATCATGTTCATTATATTAATTATAGTATCCTTCCAAGATTGTTATCTTTTTATCATGATAAATGATAAAAATGATAGCACAGCTTTTCTTTTAATTTGAAGAGGAAAAAAGTGTTCAAAGAATCAAAACAAAAATAAACAATTTCATTAAAAAAAAATAACCTTTAGCATTTCAAATGAATTGAAAAAATGAGATGTTTATCAAACTATCCAAGATTATTATCATCTTATCATAACAAATGATAAAAATGATAGTGCGAGTTTATTTTAAAAGGAAAAAAAATTGATGCATTTTTAAGTAATCGCTAATTAACTATTTATTTATGATTAAAATTTATCCAACAAATTAATTTTATTCGATCAATAAAATCATTTTATCATTTAACTTCCAAAAAAAAGTTTAATTGATGACAGTTCGAAGCTATTTATTTTAATTATACCAATTTATACAAATTATAATTGAACAAATAAATGAATGAAAGCTATTTGATAAAAAAAATTTTTACTTTTTAATAAATTTTATTCATAAATTCTTTTATTATTTTTGTTTAAAAATTTTTTCTATTTTCTCCCTTTCTTTTCTTATTATTGAGCTGGAAAATTTACAATAAAATTAAATTTTAGAAAGGATTAAAAATTTTTCAATGCATTTAATATATATTCTAATTGTTAATTAATCATAGAGATTAAATCAAATATTTCCAATTTTAAATAATAAAACCAGAAATGCATCCATTCCGGTAGTATTAATTAAATGAATTGATTGTATTTAATTTAAATACAATTAAATATAAATTTTTGATTAATATAATAGCAAAACTTTATTTATTACTTTCTTCTTTTTTTTTCTTATTTTTAATTCTGAAAAAAAGCAAAAAAATAAAAATATGCAAATAAGTAAATGTTAAAAATATTAATACTTAAAATTTTCGGACCATTTTAGTCATTTTTTTTCTTTCTCTTTTTGCTTTTACAACTAATAAAAAATTTATTATGCAAAAAAAAATAAATAAACAAACAAATATTAATTTTATTGAATTATATTTTTTTTTAAATCATAAATAAAATGAAAATTTCTTTTTTTTGTATTCAACAACTTTTTTTTTTCTTCTTTATTTGTATGAAAAAGAAAAAAAGTAATAATAAAAATTTGACAACAAAAAAAAAAAAAATAATAACAAATATTAGTTTATACGACCTGAATTTTCTTTCATTTTTTTTTTTTTCATTTTTCTTTCAATTCTTTCTTTCCTTTTTTGCATTAATTTTTGTTATTTAAAGAAAAAAAAAAACGAAAAAAGAAAATAAATTTATTAAAAAGAAAAAAAAAATTATTTATTGTAGTTATTATTATATTATTAATTGCATTTTTTGCATGAATTAATCAAAATTTATAAAAAGAAAAAAAAGAAAAATATTTGATAGTTTGATCTATTTTTAAAAGAATATTAATAATAAATCTGTGAAATGATGGAATGACACAGAGAGAGAGAGAGAGAGAGAGAGAGGGAGAGAGAGATTAAAGTGAAATGAGATTAGTAATTGATGAAAAAATAAATAAATAAAATATTAATTATCGTTTTTTTTCTTCACTTTTTTTTTGATAGCAAAAAATTCGAATTCATTTTCAGTTTTAAAACAAAAAATGAATAATTTTCTTCCTTTTCGATAATTTAATTTTCTTCAAATGAAAAAATTAGTTTTTTTTTTGATGAAATAATAATTATTATTTATTTAATGATTATGGTAATATGACATTATTTAATATCATTTGTTATCATTTTTTCTTTCAGTACAGTGATATGGTGATAAAAGTTTTATCACACAATTTTAAGCATTTATTTCAATGACTTCTTACTTATTTTTATCACAAGAATACATGAAAAATTAAAATTTAAGCATTAATTATTTTATTAAAGTAAAATAAAATAATTTTCTTTAAATTGAAAAGTCATTTTGTGAAATTTTTTAACAGTAACGGTGATAAGAAAAAAAAAGTACATTTATAAATGTTAAGCAAAATAACACATTATTTAATCAATAATTATTTCTAATAAAAAAAATTTTTTTTTTTTTTTTAAATCAAATAAAATTTAAATGAGAAAAAAATGAAAAAAGTAAACGAAATTAAAAAAACTTTTTTTTTTGCTTTTTTTCTTTTTTTAATGAGAAATAATTATTAAATAAGATACTTTTTTAAATATAAAATAGAAAAACAAAAATTAAAAATTAAAATTAACATATACTGTTATAGCTATTACATCATCCAATATAGTATTACACTTAATTAATTAATAAAAATGTTACATTTAATTAAGTAATATATAGTATTGCATCATATCAACAAAACCTATTAATCTAACGAATTATTGAAAACATAAGGAAAAAAAATATAAATAAAATGATACCTAATTTAAGTATAATCAAGAAAAAAAAAATTAACAAAATCCAACAATAAAGATTAATGAGCAAACAATAAATATTTCTTACTTTTCCCTTTTCTTTTTCTTCTTTAAATTAAATTTAATTATCTGACATAAAGTAATAAATTGAATTGAATTAATTTTTTGTTGCAAAAAAAATTGTTTTTCTCAAAATTTTTCTTTTTTTGCAAAATATTTATTCTATTATTATCAACTAATAAATAATTATTAAGGACTAATAATATTGTTGGATGAATTTTTAGTCGGAAAATATTTTTATAATTAGTAATTTTCGAATGCTATTCTAATATTTGACTAATTTCATTTTTCATTTCACATTTAAATAGATTAAATTAAATCTTTTTTTTTTTCAGTAGTAATTTCGAATCATAAATTTTGTGATATAATATTATCATTCACTTCAATGTATAAATTTGAAAAAAAAAAAAAAGAACTATACCTTATAAAAGTATAATTTATAAGTTAAAAAAGAATGAAATGGATTATTAAGAAAAAAAAAAAAAACTTAGTAAGATAATTTGATAAATAAATTTTAGTTATAACCAAAAAAAAAAATTTCTTTTTTTTTTAATCTTCCCATGTTAATGAATGCCTTCCATTAAATTGCAATTGACAGTTACGTTTACCGTACCAATTAACGTAAGCAAATTCGGAATCGGAAACAATCGAATTAAAACGACCACCGAAACGTTTTGATGCTTTACTTTCAATACTTCGTGCTGCATCCAAGTTATCACGATGCTCTTTTAGTGTTGACTGCAATAAAACAAATTTTCCTTTATTTACTTTTTTTTTTTCTCCTCCAAAATCTAATTAAATGATATAATTAAAGTAGTAATAATAACAGCAGGAGAAATATTAATAATAATTAATGGTAATAATAATAACGATAAGATTAACTAATTAATTAATTAGTAATAGTAATGATAGAAATATTTAAATAATTAACAATAATAATTAATAATAATGATAATAGTAATCAATAATAATGATAATAATGGTAATAATAATAGTAATAATAATTATTGTATGATTAAAATAAGATCCTTTCCACTCCTTTTTTTTTGTTTCGTTCAAAATTACAACCAAAATTCCAAAACAATTGATAAATTTCAATTTTTTGTTTTTTTGAATTAAAATTTTTAAGATTAATTTTGTTTAAAGAATAATTTTCTATTTCAATTATTTAACAATAACATTTTTTTAATTTTAATTTTAATTATTTAAGAATTGTAAATTTAAATAAATTTTTTGCAGAAAGAATTTGTTGTAAAAACTTAAATTTTTGCAAATAAAATTCAAAATTTGAAAATAGGAATGGATAATTGAAATATTTGATAAATTGAATGTTTTAAATTTGAAAATACCTCAATAATAGCTTTCAAAACCGGATCATTGCATGTTGAATCATCCGTTTCAATACTTCTTGATTCAATAATTGCATTACCGTTGCTTTTATCATAACCGGCAATTGCTTCTGATATAGCATTATTTTTTGCATCCAAACCGGATGATTCCTGAATTCTTATTATTAATTAATCCTTAATTATTAACATGATCAAAAATTATAGAATCTAAAAAAAATGCAATAATTAAAATTAAAATTTAAAAAAATTTAAAGCAAATTAAAATTTAATAGAAATATAGCTATTGGGTGAATTAATTATTTTTAAGAAATAAAATATAGTATAACAAAACATTTAATAGTATTTTATTTAATATAGTATAATATTTCAAATCAAATAGTACTCAGCAAGAAATATTAAATTAATTAATTATGAATTAATGAAATTGTGAAAAAAGAGGAAAAAATTTTGCAATACTTAAATTGTATAATTACATTTTAGTTAAATATATCTATTAAATATAATAAATAATTTATTCAATATAGTGTAATATTTCAAATTAAATACTACTATAATATAAATGAAATGCATACAACTACAGTAACAATTAGCAATAATTGAATGAAAAAATATTTTATTAATTTCATAATTAATTGATTAATTAAATTAGAGGAAAAAAAATTAAACTAATATTTTTTGGTGTAATAAATATAAATTAGCTAATAATTGAAAAAGTTTATTTTTTAAAAATTTGAAAAAAAAATTTTTTTTCTTTCACTTTTTTCTTTTTTTGAAAATTATCAGTTACAAATAATCATACCAATGATGTAAATTCCGCTGATCTCATTGCCGTTGCTAACGCTGTCGTTGCTCCGTGATCGCTTTCCGCAGCGGATGTATCACTTTGATAAGCGCTGTTAGTTTTATAATTTGTACCATCATTAATTGATGTATGAGATTCAATTTGATCATATTTATTATTACTATCACTTGTCACCATTGAACCTATATTAATGCTATTCTTATCAGTTTTATCAGTAAACAATTGTTGTTGTTGTTGCTGTTGTGCACCTTCATGATCGCTAACAATTTCCTCATAAGCATTTTCACTAACTGATGGTTGTCGATATGGTAAATTTTGTTTACCTAAAATTTATTGTACTCTTTTTTTTTTCTAATTTTTTATTTTTCAGACAAATAGAAAATATTGAATAAATAAAATTTTTAGAATAATTATTTAAAAATTTATTATTTTCAATTTTTTGAAATAATAATCTGTTAAAATTAGCAAAATACTTCAAATTTTGCAATGAAATAATCAAAATTTTTATTATTTTAATAATATCTTTTTGTTGAATATGAAAGGAAAGAAAAGTGAGTGAAATAATTTTGATAATTTGTTCTGCTAAGACCATTTCATTTCATTCTATAATTATTAATTATTATATTAAGTTAATTAAAACAATTTGATCCATTCGTTTACATTGATTTGAACTGAAATTTTTGAGTAAAAAAAAAGGAAAAAATTTGTTGGATCATTTTTTTTAAACAATATTCATTAAATATTTTATTAATATAAAAAATTTTAAATTTCAATTTTTTTTCAATTATTTATTTTTTTAAAGGTATATATTCAAATATTTTTGTGTTCATAAATGAATTTTAATTATTAATTTTTCTTCAAACTTAATAACATCTAGCCCACTTGATAAGATCAAGGTCATCTGATGACATTAAGCTTAGCTGATGAAATTGAAATCACTGATAAGATCAAGCTTAACTAATGACATCAAGCTGATCTGATAGGAGTAAATTTACCTTATGGTATTAAGTAAGCTAATAAGATCAAGCTTACCTGATAATATTAAGCTTACCTTCAGGAGCACGACTCTCTTGAGTCATAGCAGCAGGTGCTAATTGTTCTTCCGGTTGCATCATACCATTGTTGTAAGCGTATTGTTTCGGTAATGGTAATGGTAGTTCCGGTGGTGGTGGTGGTGGCGGTGCAATATTTGCTGGCGGTGTAAAACCAACAATTCCATCTTCGCTTCCTCTCATACCACCACCATATCCCGGTGCAATATTATCAGCTACTGCTTTATCACCACCTATAATTATTATGGTATAATTCATTTGTTACTAAAAATTTTTATATATTTATTTTAAAAAAATTTTTTTTCATTTCCAACTGCATTAATTGAAATTGTAATTTAAAATTGATTAATTAAAATTACTTGATTTGCAATAATTGAAATTATAATTTAGTAAAACTACACCTGTGTAAAAATTACCACCAACAGGTGGTCTTTTTTCAGCAGTTTGATATAATGCTCCAATATTGCTACCTCTTCCTATAATCATTCCAAAATTAAAATTTTTTTAAATCAAAAGTTAAATCAAAAAAAAAAAATTAAAACTAATTGATTCTTAGCTTCCCCCCTTTTTTTTCATTTTTTTTTTTTTTAATAAGAAAAGTGTAATTCTGCAACCTATAGTTTAGATATTGGGAAGAACTAATTAGTTTAATTTTTTAATTTCATATATTTATACTTTTTACACTTGTTGCTTCCTTTTACCTTACTGACAAATTTTTTAAATAATTTTTTAAGTAAATTTTTTTTTCACCTGAAAATTTTATTTAAACAAATTTATTAAGCATACATAGAAAAACGAATATAATCTGTTTAAATATTCATTTCTATGCTATCAAAAGTTATGAATTAATATTAAAAATTTCCGTTTAATTTCCTACTCCAAATGTTACTATAAAATGTTAATTTTATTCAAATTATAATCAAATCTTACCTTATTATTATTACTATTATTAATTCATACGAATTTTTATTGTCATTATTATTATTATTATTAATTAAAATTACTATGCTTTTTATCTGATAGCTAAAATTTCTGGATGATTCATTCATTCCGGAATTCACTACTGGAATCGTCTTCAAAGTGAGAATTTTCCTAATTCATTTGAAATCTTTCATTCTCTCATGGAATAATGAAGCAATAGATAACAATTTCAAATTTATATAAAATAAATATTCGTAAAAGTTTGTCAAATTTTTATTTTTCTCACTTTTGATGATTTCAATCTTTTCTATTTTTAGCACAGACATAGTTGTTCTTAAGAAATAATTCATTTCAATAATTTTAAATGTTATTTTAACTTTTTTTTCGTGTGTGCTAATTAGTTTAATTAATTAAACTAATTCAAAAGTGCAAAAATATTTGTAAATTTTTACTTTATTGAAAAATTTTCTTAAACAATTTTTATTAAAATTTTTTTCTTTTGATCCAAAAAAGTAATCTTTTCATTTGTCTCATTTCATTCAAATTTGAAAAGCATAAAATAGAGAAAATTTGAAGTACCATAAGATGGACCACTCCCACTGCTAACATAAGCCATTGGTTGTTGCATATAAGCGCCACCTGCTCCAACACCTAATGGCGCTGGTGGCGGTGGTCCCAAATAGCTACCACCGCTACCGCATCCGTTCCGACCACAGCCATCGCTTGAAATAACAAAATTTGTTGATTACATAAAACTTTAAAATTAATCATAAAAATTAAATTACCAAAAAATATTTGAAAGTAAATATGTAACTTGTAAATTAGTCATAAATGAAAATATTAAAGTAATGAAATTTTAAGATATATTTCTGCATACTTTTTCATTATACAGCTTAATAAAGTATTCGAAAAAAAATCTGAAAAATTAAAAAGTTTAATGCAAATAAATAATTGATTATTTTATTTTTTTAAAACAATACTTTTTTTTTTTGTTTTAAACGATTATTTTATATAAATTACTATGATTTACTTAATTTTCAGAAAAGAAAAGTATAATGAACAGTTAATTTGTTTTAAAATTAAATGATAATTTTTTTTTTTTATGAATTTATTGTAAAAATTTAAAATTCCTTCATTTTTTCATGTAAAAAATTCTTATTTTCATGAGAAAAAAGAGAAAAAAAAACTCTTTCAAATACAATATTTTAGAACTTCCGAAAAAAAAGCAAACATAAATTTCAAAAATTTCTTTTCAATTCCACAAAAAAAAAAATTAAAATAAATGAAGCATAAAAATTGGCAAATGGAAAATCAAAAAAAAAAATTTTTTTTTCAAGGCAATTAAAGCAATAATTAAATATTCTATTATACTAATTTAAATTAAAAAAAAATAGCACTGCAATTACAATAACTTAAACTTTATTATTTTATAGTAATTAATTAATTAGTCATTTTTATAGTTTTAAACTTAAAATTTAAAATTATCAAAGATATTTTTAGCATTTATTGTTTTATTTGCTTTAAATGAAATATGAAAATAGGTAAAATGAAAATTAAAAAATTTATCAAATGTAATTTTGATCAAATAATTTGAACAAATTATATGCTAGTTTAATTTCAATCATAAATTCTCAACAGTCCCAGCTCATAAAAAATACCGGAAATTTTTACATCAAATACCAAGTCTGATTCCTGTTTTCCTAACCGGTTAAAGTATTGTAAAGCGCAAAATGACGCCAACAATGTGAGTGATTAGAGAATGCGGAATTATCCTACAAATTCTATAACAATGCAAAGACATTTAACAAAATATGTCATTTCGTACTGTTCAATGATTATTTAGCACAAAATTAGTTTTAGAATTAAAAATTTTAAGCAAAAATATAAATAGTATAAATTTTTATTAAATTATTAAATTTAATAAATAATAACACAAAATGAAGAAAATTAATCAAATTATTATTTATATGAAAAAAGAAAAGAAATATTTTACCGAATAATAAAATAATTAAAAATTAATTTTGCAAATATTTTTAGCAAATTTGGGAAATCATTCATGAAAAAGTAATCGATAGAATTAATTAATTAATTTCATATTTGATTAATTTGCTTAGAAAATTGTAAAAAATCATGTAATATATGTATAAATGATTAATTTTTCTATAACAATTATACTGTAAAAATATTAAAATTATGATATTAATAACTGTACAATATAATTAACTTTAAATCATAAATAATTTTATTTAATTTATTGTAGTCAGAGAAAAAAAATAAACTTATTAAACTTTTTTTAAGAAAATGATAGTGTTTTTGCTGAAATGATTTGAAAAAAAAAGAACCGATTAAAATGAATTGAATAAAAGTTAATTTATAATTTTTACTAAAATGAAGTAAAATTATTTTTTTAAATGGTTTTTTCATTAAAATGAATAAAAATTATTTTGCAACAAAAAATAGAAATGAAAAAAAAGGAAAATTTAGATTAGAAATTATTATATCAAAATAATTGTAAATAATAAAGATATTACACTATAAATTTCAAAAAAAAGGAAATATAATTAAGTAGTAAAATTGGAAATTACTAATTACAAATTATAAAATATTAATTTTTCTATTTTATGTTAGCGTAATTAAATATATTTTTGCATTAAAACATTTGGAAAGAAATGCATTAATTGATGCAAAATTTTAGGCTGAAAAGTTTTTCTGTTTCATTTTATCATCTTTTTATGCAAAGTTAAATTTGATAAATGAAATATAAAATTTGAAATTCATTTTCAATTAATTATATATCATATATTAGATATAAATTATTGATACAAATATTATCAGTGATATCTTAAATGAATAATTTATATAAGAAAGATATAAAGGAAAATTTTAAATTTTATTTCTCTTCCAAATCAAATATTTTTTTATTACTCTTTTCCTCTCTACCCTTCTCTCTCTCTTTAAAAAATTGAAACAAATGATATTTTAAAAGAAAAAAAAAATCAGCAAGAAATAATGATATTCCTTGAAAAGAAAGATATATGCAGAATTAACATATAAAATAATTATATAACATAGATTATAAAATTTCAATTTCAATTAAATTAATTGAGTAAATTTCAATTTCGATTAAAACAACTGTGTAGAATTCAACTTCGATTAAATTAATTGTGTAAAATTCAATTTCAATTAAATTAATTGCACTGTCTGTTGAATGGTATGAAATGAAAAGAAAAAAAAAAGCAAATATTTGTTAAATTGTTGAGTGGAAAATTATTTTTACATTTGAAAATGAAAAATTTGACCGATTTTTTTTTTTTTTTAATTGAATTAAAAAATATATATGTGACACAGTCCGAGAGAGAAAGAAAAAGAAAGGGAAAGAATGAAATGGTTGCAAGGAAATGGTTTTGAAGAAAAAAATTTCTTTTTTTTTTTTGATTTTTATCAATGTTTGAAAATTTGTCATTTCTTTTCAAATAATATTATCAAATAATAAAATGACTATAATTGATAAGATATGAAATGATAAATCAAAATTAAAAAAAAAATGATAAATAGTTGAATGAAAATGAAGTGAAGCAAAAAAAAAACAGAAAAAAAGAAATAGAAAAAATCGGAAAAAGAACTTTCATTCATTTTTTTTTTAATATTCTACTTCGTTTTACATATAAATAACTTTTACTAAGTAATATTTTTGAAATAATCAATTTTTTTTTTTTTTTGGAAAAAGAGAAAGAAAATATAAATGTTTGAAAAGTAAGGAAGAAATATATTAATGTGATAAGTTATCACTAATTGCACTTATTTTTTTTAATTTTCTAAAATGAATTATAGCTTAACAAATTTTACAATAAAATATTTTGTTTTTGATAATAATTAAAAATGAAAACGTGAAAATATGTAAAATTTGAATGATAATTTTACAACAAAAATCAAAAGATATATGGAAGAGAAATTTGATAAAAAAACGAATATATCACTTTTTCAGATTGATTATTGATATGATAAGATAAGCACATACTATAAAATTGTATAATAAAATTTGACAACAAAGTGAATATTTAAAAAGTTTGTTGCAAATTTAACATTTATTATTATTTTGTTCTTTTCTTTTTGATATTTGACATAAATGAAATTCATATATCATTTAAATATGACAAATATGAAAAGTAAAATTAAGAAAAAAATTAGTTGAGGAACTCAGTTGCTAATAAATATAGCAATTTAAATAATTTTCAAATGAAAATTTTAAATTAAAATTTTTTTGCATCATTTTTGCTAAAAATATTATTAATTATCATTTTATTTTTTGTTATTTAAATTTTTTTTTAAAGCTTGAAGTATTAATTTAATCAAAAAGTTTTTTTCTTCAAGAAGCTTTAAGTTAATTAAAAAATAAAATTGAAAAATATTTGTACACTTTTATTGCAAAAAAAATACAATACTTGTATTAGAAAAACAATTCAATTAATTAATTAATTACAGTTCATTATAAATAAACATTGAAGTATTGATGAAATGATACATTTAATGATAATGACAAGTGATTAATCATTTTCACGGATGATAAGTTGTGCATTTTGCTTAGAAAAACTATTTGACACTAATATTAATCAATCTTTTATCAATTTATCAATTCGCTAAAAAATAAAAAATGTGTCAACATTATTTATATTATTATCAATTAATATTATTTATTATTATCATTATCAACTATTATTATTTATTACTATCATTATTATTATTAATTATTATTGTTATTATTATTATTATTATTATTACTATTATTATTATTATTATTATTATTATTATTTAACATAGATGTGTGCATATGTCTGTGTGTATTTATATGTCGCATATAATCAATTAACATACAAATATGTGCGCAATATTTTACGAAATAATTTAATATTTTACAAAAAATAAAAAATAAAAATAAAATTAAATATTATATATCAAATTATTCTGCTAAATTCATTAATGCTTATTAAATAAGTTATATTAATATCTGCATTATAGTTATCAAATAATTAATTGAGACAAAACGATAAAACTTATTAAATTTTGATGTTAATTAGCAGTAAAATATATAAAACAGAAAAGAAAATATATTTTTAAAATATAATTATTAAATTTTTATTTCATTCCTATTTGAATCTTATTCCTTTTCTTATTTTTTCCATCAATATGTTTCATTTCGTTGGTGCATAAATATTAAATATATTAATGAATAAATAAAATATTAAAAGAAAAAAATTATATAAAGTTTAGTTTTAATACATTTTGTGCTTTAAATTTTAATGTTTGTATAATAATTGCATTCCAATTTTTCTTTTTGCTTTTCTTTAAACTTTAATTTAAAATATAAATTTTACTGTTATGCTTAATTGAAAGTGAAATAGAATGCTTATATACTTTTTTAAATTTCTCATATAAAGATAAAAATTTTCTTGTTTTTTCTTTTTAGTACCAACTTTACCCCACCATCTGTTGTAAAAAACTTACCCGTAATATTTGAAATAGTTTTAAAATAATATTGATATGCTTAATTAAATATTTAGCACATAGAAATTAAATTAAATCAAAACAAAATGAAATGAAATCTTAAAAATAAAATAATGAGAAAAAGAAATATTTCCTAGTTTAAAATTTAAATTTCATGTTAACACATTAAAACAAAATTATTATTATTTTTTTTTTTTGCTTTTATTATTCGTGAAAATATTTTCTATTTTATTAAACTATTCTGTTTCAAAAATAATTTATGCTTTATTTGTGAACTATTCAAAATGCATTATTACTAGCTAGTTAATAAATAAATTTTAAACTTTTATAAATTTCTTTTTCTCATTGTTTTCATTTTATTTTGCTTAAATTCAATTCATATGATGAAAATTTCAGTATTTAAATTTTAATTTCATTTAGAATTTATGTTTGAAATGATAAAGAAAATAGAAAATGACAAACCTTGTTGAGGAGCATGGTGGTGCTGTATGAGCACAATGCATTGCTGATGGTGGACAACATAATGAGCCACCACCAAAACAAGCATCACTTGGCTTATTAAGCATAATGATTAATGTTATCAGCAATTGTAATATCAGTTGTGTTGCTCTGCCGCCACTGATAACGTTATCACAACGAGCATTCAGCATTTTCATTATCATCGCAATCAACCAATGCTTAGTTAAGCACACTTTCCTCAGAAAAAAAAAGGAAGAATAAACAATAAATAGAATTGAATGAGACAAAAACAAAGAACGACGATAACAAATTAATATAAATAAATAAAATAAAATAAATGAGCTAATTAATAAAAAATAGCATTAATAATAGTGATATAATGAAAAAAATGGTAATAATAAATAAATAAATAAATAATAATGACAATAATATGATAATAATATTGATAACAATAAATATTGATAATAATAAATAATAATAATAATAATATTGATAATAGCAACAATAGTAATGTATGTATATGTGTATAATGGTAATATAGGCCTGTAGGATGGATTTAATTCAAATTTTATTACTGAAATTAAGACGAATAAGAAACCCTTTTTCTATGTTGTCCACATACCCTTTTTGCTCTCTTAACCAACTATCAAAAATCCGGAATACCCTAAGGCAATGGCAATACATCGCTCCGGTAACTGTGTACCGCCCTGTTAGAAACATTAATCTTGACACTGACCACATAAGTTTTAAATCAAACTGATAACAAAAGCTAACTAATTTTACTATTTATTTATTACCTATTATTATTACTTATTACTATTTATTTATTACCTGTTATTATTACTTACTATTATTATTATTGCTATTAATATTATTATCATTATTATTACTTCTGCTGTATATTCAAATAGTTTCTCAAACAGTATTATAAAGGAAATAAACTCAAAATTGAATAATTAAATTAAGAATTTATTGAAAAACATATTACAGATGTTACAAAGTAATATGTTAATTAGTGAAAGTATCAAATTAATTTGAAGTTTATAAATTGTAATACAAAAAAATGCAAATAGCAAGCACTAACAAAAGAAAAAAAATTTTTTTTTTTGATCTCAAATAGAATTTTTTTTTTCTTATTTCAAAATTTTTTTTTTAACTCAGCTTAAAAACAAAAAAGATTTTAAAAATATTTAAAATTTGCAGATTACGAGAAGAAACTAATTCCGTAGCTGTTGTATTGTTTTAGAAAAATTTTTAATTTTTTTTCAACTTATTAAATTATATATAGTTAACTTTTTTTTTTTCGCCAATGTAATTGATTATGGAATAAAATATTTTATATTTTGAATTGTAAAAATGTTTGGTTTGCCTTTTTTTTGGAAGGAATGAAATTTTGATAAACTTTAAGAAAATATTGGACTAAATTTTTATATTTTATTCATCGTTTTTTTTTTTTCAATTCATTTTATTCATTTTGTAAATTTTTGTTATAATTAATCGCAGTTTTAAACGTTGACAAATTCGCATTAATCGAATACTTAATTAAATAATAATTTCTGTTATTTAAGTACCTAATTAAATCTTATTATTATACTTTTCTTAAAAAGAAATATATGCTTTGATATGCAAATATTTGTTGACGATCATTTGATACCTATATTATTTAACGTTTGATCACGTCACCATTTCCGGTTTCAGTATTGCTACAAACTTGATTGAAATGAACAAATTGGATTACAAATCGATATAAATCGATCTGGATTATAAATTTGCATCTGGATTATAATTTTTAACAAAATTTTTTGTATAATCTCTGATTTTCATGATCGGTTAAAAAAATTCCGGAATTGTTAATATCAAGATTAGCAAGAAAGTTTTTAGAAATTTGAAAGTAATAAATATTTACGAACAAAAAAAAAAGGAAAACTTTCCGGAACAGCTTTTTTTCTTGTTTTGCAAAAATATACAGGTAAGATTTGTTTTTTTCTTCCTATTCAAATTCAAATTAGTTTAACTAAAATTCTGAAATTTAAACAATTAAAATGCAATTTTGCAAATGAAGAAAATAAATATTCCGGAAAAGATTTACATTCTTATTGCTTTTCCTGTTTCATTCATTTTTTCCATGTGGCATACAAATTTTAAGAAAGAAATTTCTTCAAAAAAATTTTTTTGCTTTCTTTTTTCATTATTTTATCCATTTCCACATATATATAAATATTCAAATTGAATTACTTTTATTAGAATATAAAAAACCAATTTTTACAATATCAAAAAATTTTATAAATTAAAAAATATAGTTGGAAATAGAAATATTTTTTTTAAAGATATATTAAAAAGTTTATAACTATGTGTAAAATGAAAAGAAAATCATTTTTTTCATATTAAAAATTTTAAATTAATTAAAACAATTTCATTTGCTGTACGATAGGTTTTCCTTCTTTCATTTTCTATTTTTTTTTTTAATTTTTTAAATAATATATTCATTCATTTAATAGTAAAATTTAATTTGTAAAGAATGTTAGCTATGTGTAAAAAAAAAAAGAAAGAACAAAAAACAAAGATCGAAACAAATATGGAAGCAAAATTAAAATTTTTTTAAGAAAAAAGAATTAAAATTTTAGACTTACCTGCTTGTAACATAATTTTATAAACGAGTTTTTAATTTTTTCTTGTTTTAAATTTTATTTTATTTTATAACAAAGATATAGCAAAAAGTGTAAATCATCCATTTGTCTTACTATTTAATACTTACTTTGAAGTAATTATATTAAAAAGCGATTAAAATACTAACAAAGAAATTTGATTTAATCATACTATTAAAACAAAAAAGATAAAAAATGAAAAATTTGAAGGAAAATTTGAAGTTTTCATTTTGTCGCTGTTTTTTTGTTTAAATTTATTTAAATTAATTTCAACAGTTGCTTTTGAGCTTTTTATTGTAGTGTCATATATTCTACAAATAGTAATAAAATAATTATTATTTGTTTCAATAATCTTCATATTTTAGTCTTTATTTACAATATCTGAATTAATTTTGACAATTTGAAATTATTTTTTGAGTACAATACATTGTGGAAAAAAATAATTCATTATAAATTCTCTTTTTGAGGATTTTTCTTTTGAAAAAGTATTCAATTTTAAAATATTAATAGTAAAAAATTAAGCAAAAATGATATTTTATGTTAATTTCAATCAAAAAAAAAAAAATAGAAAAAATCAATAATAATTGGTCATTTTTAGAATTTGTATAAAAATGAATAAATCAAATTAATTCAAATTATTGTGAAAATGCATTTGTAAATATTATCAATTATCATTAATGTTTAATGTAATTTTATGATTAATTGAATTTGATTTATGATAAGATTTGTAAATAAAAGTGAAACCAAAAAGTTTATCATTTGAAATTTTGAATGGAATGTGAAAAAATTTAGAAAAAAAAAAGGGAATGAATGAATGTGTAACAAAATAATGATAGATAAACAGGAAATGATAAAAAAAAAATTTTTTTTTTTTAATTGATCGGATGTAAATTTGTTTGATAAAGTTGAAATAAATATTTTTCTTGAACTTTAAAATATAGGACTTCAAAAATGGGATAAATCTGTTTGGTCTTTTAATTTTTCTTTTTCTTTTTTTTTTTTTTTTGTAAACAACTAATTAATGAGTAAACATTTTGTTGTAAATGAAAAAAAAAAAGAAAGAAAGATATGAGATTATTTCCTTAATTTTCATACAATTAACAAAAAATTTTTTTTTCCTGAAAATTTATCAAAATGAAAAAATGGTGAACAAACAGGAAAAGAAAAAAAAAAGTTAGAAAAAATTGAGAAATATGGGATAAAAATACGATCAAATGATTTTTTTTACACTTTCATTTTTTTTTTTTTTTTTTAAATCCTGAATTTAAAAAAAAAACCCACCGGTAGGAGAGAAAGAAGAAAATGGTGAGTAAAAGGAAGAATTATTAAACAAATATTGGTGTATTTAATTAATTAATTCTTTTCTTTTTTTCTTTTTGCAAATAATTAGAATTATATTATTATTGTTACTATTATTATTTAATATAGCAATTGAAAAAAAAAAAGAAAAAGAAAAAGTTAAAAAATTTCATTACTAAATGTAATTAATAAATTTTTGAAAATATAATTTGTTTCCATCTCATTCATAAAATTATGTATTTGATTAAAGCTTTTTTAAAATTAAATTGACATTTTAGAAAAAGATTTTAATTAATATTTTATAATGTTTTTTCTTTTCAATAAAATTATTATTTAACAAAAGGATTGAAATTTATTAGATAAGAAATCTGCCATTGCTTAATTAATAAATTATTTATTTGTTTTTAGTTAAAATAAAAAATATATAATTTGGTTTTTGTCGTTTTTTTTTTATTATTTTTCGAACAAAAGAAAAATGTTATAAAATATTTGATTGCTAATTATAACAGTACAAAATAGAAAAATATTATTAGCAATTTCGATATGCTTTAAAAACAATAAAAAATTGTAAAGGAACAAATAAAAATTTTAAAAGGATAAAAATAATTTATTAAAATACAAAAAAAAAAAACTCAGAAAAGACAAAAATAAGTTTTGTAATTAATAATTAATTTGCACTGAAAATGATTTTCTTTTTGCAATAAAATTAGACAATCAAATTGGAGCAAATATAAAAATTTGAAATTGAAAAATAATTCAATTTTTTACAGTCAAAGGATTGCTACTCATTTTATTAAAATATTAATTAACATTTTAATTAATTAATTAAAACATTAAAAATTAATTACAATCATATAATAGCATGAGTATAGCGCATCAAATATTTTAAAAAAAATAACAATAAAAATGATAAAACTGAAATTTAACTAACAAATAGCAAATTAAAATCAAAAAAAAAAAAAAATAAACGAATCAGTTGCTTATTTCATATACCGCTTGAAAGATTGCTACTCATTTTATTAAAATATAAAATTAATTATAATCATAGAGGAGAAGAAATTTAAATTAGAAATTTAATAACCCAGAATTTTTCTTTTGAGGTCATTTTTTTATTCCCTTTTTTTTTTTTTTTTTTTGCACCATAAATAAATGATCAATCATCCAAAAAATATTTTCTTCTATATATTTATCATGTATAATTATAATTTTACTAATTGTAAGCATTTCAAGGGGCAAAAACGTGTAAATAATCGTTAATAATACACGTACGCTTTAAATATTGCAAATATTGAATACGTGAAATACATTAATTAGTTACGTTGAAATTAAATTAGTCACATAAACAATATGTTTTTTTATCATTTCATTATTTCTTTAATTATCTGATAAAAATTTGAAATGATTAATTTCAATAGCTGATTTTATAAGAATTCAGAAAAAGAAAAAATAAATTAATTAATTAAATTATCTTTGATAACTCATTAATTAATTATAATTATAGAATAAATGAATTTTTTTTTGAAAAATTTTTTGAAAAATCTAAATTTATTAATTGAATACATATGCAATTAATGAATAATTTCAATTGCTAATTTATAAAAGCTTAAAAGAATTGAAAAAATAACAAATAAATTATATTATCTTTGATTATTTGCTAATTAATTATAATTATAGAATAAATGAATTTTGTTTTTTGATAAGTTTTAGATTTATTAATTGATTATATATACAATTGCAATAAACTTCAAAAGTAATTGTAATAATTTAAAAAAAATCCATTCAAAAAAAAATTTAAAATAGTAAAAAAAAAATTTTTTTAATAAGAAAAGAGCTCTTTAAATATTTTCAGTAATTTACTTATTGAATTAAATTATCTAATAAATATATATATTTTTTCTTCGTTGAACTGAAGGACTGAAAAATTTAATGAATATTAAAATATGAAATGAATTAATTTAATTTAATATAATTATTCAGCATAACTTTTCATACTTTTTTTTACGCTTACTAATGGAAAATTACTTAAAATTTTATAATAAAAATTAAAACTGATAATAATGTTACATTTATAAATCGTAAATTTATAAATATAGTTAATTAAATAATAAATTGTAGATACTGAAATTGCTTTTATATTAATAAATCAATGTTTACGGAAAATAAGTTGAAAAAAATTAAAATTAATTCTTAATTAACATTTTTGGACAATATTATGTTTCCAATAATTCAATAGCAATTAAAAAAATAATGAAAATTGTTCAGAAATAGTTGGGATTATCATATAAAAACTATATTAGATATTTTGAAAAAATATTTTAAAGTGTTTTTTTGTTATGTTTTAATATTTAAATAATAGTTATTGAATAATAATTATCAGAAATTATATTTATCACATATTGAAGGATAAGAAAGTATATTTTATGGTATTGTATTTTAATAAATATATAATCGAAACTCAAAATAATTAATTAATTAAACATAGATTGTAAAATCTAGGATTTTGGATAAGTCTCTTTTTTTTTCTTCGCTTTTGGTACCATTTTAAAATTAACAAGAAAGATAAAAAAAAATGCAGTCATTTCCAGTACTGTTTTCTTTTTAATTAATTTAATCGTTCCTCAGTTATTGTTAAACTTTTTTTTTTTTAAAAAAAATAATGGAAGAAAGTGAAAAAAATATGATTAGATAATTAATAAAATTAATATATTTCAGTTTTGCATTCTTATTCCGTTAATTATTACTTATATTAATTTACAAAATCATTAAGACTACTTTAATTATAAATATTATTATTATCATTGCTATTATTATCATGAATAAATAGTTACACCCTTTTTTAATTTAATTTAATAATTATTAATATTAATATTATTAATTTTATAAATTGAAAATCTTTCATTTTTCGTTTTCATCTATTTTCTCCCTTCCTCTCTCTCCCTCTCTCTCGCCCTTTCTCTTTCTCTCTTTCTCTTAGATAAATCAGTTACTAATGAATACGGAAAAATTAAGTTGAAAATTTGAAGGGGACAGTAATTAAGGATAATTAAGAAAATTATCACACTGATAAAAATTTCATTCATTGATAATACTTCCTTCATCCATTCATTTCCTTTTTATTATTCCAGTTAATTTAAAGGTCAAATTTCTAAATTGTTGAATGATTGATGAATGAATGAAAATAAAAACGAGTAAACAATGCGATAAAAATTCTCCCAAATCGTATAATCCTTTTAAATTCATTCTTAAAATTTATAATTTTTATTACAAATTTAAATTCTTACAAATTCTCATAGATACGTATTCAATTTTTATAGTTTAAAATCGAATTTAAATTTAATTTAGCATTTTTTGCTTTATTTTTGAAAATCTTATTTTTCATGAAACATTTGATCAAATTCTAACTAATAATTTGCTAAAGTTTATAAAGTACAAAAAAAAGGAACTAAATAAAAACTACTGTTACCGATATTTTATATACTTAATTTTAATTTTACAAATGTTCATATTTTTAATAGTTAATAATCAAAGAAATTTCTCAGCATTTATTTTTTTCATTTTTTAATTTTATAGGATAATCTTTATTACTATTTTTAACAATTTTAATTGCTAGTTAATAGTATTATTGAAAGAAATTTGACTAATAACATTAAATTATTCAAAGAAATTAATAGGACTAATTAAAAGTTTAAACAGTTCAATTTTGTAATTTCATTCATTAATTAGTAAAATTGTCAGCGATTTTTTTTTCCTTCATGATCATTAATAAAAAAGTAATATGAACTAAAACTGGTTTAATATGAAACCATTTAATCTATTTAAATGTAATGTCATCATCTTTAGGCAAGACATTCGTTCATTTATTTGAATTAATTTTTTTTTTCTCTGAGAAAAAAAAATATTTTTAGCTCAAATAATTTGTTCAATTTCAAAATTATTTTAAAAATATTTCTTAGTAATAAATGAATGAATATGAATGAATGAATGAATAAAATTTGTCAAAAAACAAATAGAAAAACATATATTTGTTTATATTTCAAACAAATGATTAAATGTCAAAAAGAGAAAAAAAAAAAGAAATTAAAAAATATTTTTATTGCTTATTTATTCATAAATTTTTGCAATTTCTACGAATTTTTTCTTGCTTTGTTCTTTTTGTTTACAAAAATATGTAAATATTTTTTAGTTAAAGAAAAAAAAAACAATATTTGTTGACGCAAAAAAAAAGAAAAATTAGAAAAAGAAATAAAATTATCAGACGGAATGAAGAAAAGAGGAATTATTGTAAAATATAATTATTAATATAAAATGATTAATTAATTATTTTCATCAATGCTAATAATTTTTTAAATAAAATTTGAATAAAACTTTTTTTCTTCATTCATTTTATTCATTATTAAATTGCTCAAATGATTTAACGGTCGTAATTATTACTATTAATTATTGTTATTATTATTATTATCATTATTAATTATTATTATTAATTATTCATAAAATATTTGTCTTTTTTTCTTTTTACCCAAAAAAAAGCAAAAATAAAAAATATGTCATCGATATAAATTGCTGTCATCTCATTTAATTGTACATTCATTTTTATTAATATGACTAACATTTAGAAAACTTGTTTATTGATCCTTATCTTATCACAAATTTTCATAATAAATCAGGTATATTAAGGTGGAACAATTTTTCCTTCATTTCAATCCATTTTATATTCTTTTATTTCATTTATTTTAATCACAACCATTTTAATTTTCACTTTTATTACATGCTTATCAATTAAAAATACAATCATTTTCAACATTACACATATATTTTTATTCTTTTCACTAAATTTTTTAACTATAATTTTTTGAAAAAAAAAAAATTCCAATTATCTTACAATCTTACTCTTTTTTTTTCAAATTTATCCTTTTATCATTCAGTTATCGCTTGCAAATGTTCAAAAAAAAAGTAATTCCAATAAGTTATACTTAAAATATTTTAAAATTGGTATGATAAAAAGGAAACAAATTATGTTAACTCCTAAAATAGCTTTCAAATTGTGCATCGAATCAATAATATCAATTTTTTGAATGGGTCAAAAAATTTGGATATAAACAATAAATATCGATAATCTTTTTTCCAACTAAGAAATCAAGTGAGAGGGAGAGAGAAAGGAACAGAGGGGAAGAAAGGGAGAGAATATATATATAAATAACCTGTACACAACAAATAAATTTTTTTCCTCCTTGGTTTAAAGGTCAACTTTTTGTTATGTCGAATTAACCTCTTCAAAATTTTTTTTAAGCCTATAATTCTAAACAAAATCTAAAAAAAACTGTAAAAACATACGAAAATGTAAATCATTTATCATTCGCCAAATTTTACATTATGACAAAACAACAAACAAAACTTAGTTTGAAGAAAAATGACAAATGTCAACAAACAAAATATTTCAGAATCCATAGCTTTTATCATAGCAAAAATATATTACTTGCACATATTCAAACACTTGAATGCTGAAATAAACTAAGAAAACTTTCATTGGATGCATAAAAAACTAAAAAAAAAGACGAATTACAGGAAAGTTTCACATGAAATTTAAAATGTTTACAACATATTGCATCTTTTCAAAATCTCCTAACATCCGTTTATCAAAAGGATGCAGTTTAAGAAATCTTCTCATAATCCTTTTTTCTTTTCACCCTATAAAATTACATACATATTCTTTGTTAATTTATGATTAAAAAATTTATAATTAACACAAAATTTCCCTTCATTCATCAAGTTCATCAGAATCATTATCACTTCTATCTCGTCGAGTTGCCTCTTCAGCATCTGCTTGCTGATCTAATCCTTTCGGTGCCACCAAACCATCATCATCGCTACCTTCCTCACCACTTAATTCTTCAACAAAAGTTTCCATCATTTCCATTCGTTTCCTGATTTCTTCTTCATCCAAATCTGTTACTACTTTTGGCTGAAATTTTTTAATTCATAAATTTCAATCAAATAGAAAAAAAATATACTATCATGGATCATAAAAATTGACTACAGTTTGATACGATGATGAAATTAAATTACATTTTGGAAAGTCTGAAGCAGCATTCTATAAGTTCATCAGTTATAGGATTTCAATATAACAGTAAAATGTGTTTTGAATTATTCACCAATAGCTATAAAGCTCATTAAAATATCTTCGAACAATACAATTCTATTTGAAAGTAGCTGATTTCCCATCGAAACCAAATAAACCTCTGAGAATTTAAAATCAACTTACAGCCATGATGATCTTGAAACTTCCTTGACAATTTTCGATAGTTTTTTTAATTGTATAAAGAGCTTTGTTAATTGCTTCCAAACCTTCACTTCTTTCCAGTGTTTGTGTCGTAACAACAAAAAGTGGTGCTGCTATCAGATTGATCTATAAATGAAACAACAGTTAATAAATAGACTATTTATCCAATTTAAAAATTTAAGAAAAGCAACAACACTAGTTTAAGAAAAAACAACAAAACTACTGAGTTATAAATTTGAGTGCTGTTACAATTAGCATAGTAACCAAAAATTTATGCATGTATTCCCCGACCTCAGGTGTCAAACATAAGTGAACTACTACTGATTACCTTGATTGGCATTTCCGGAGTTGAGCATTTCTGCCCTTCAATAAGGGCATCTTTTACAGCATCTATTCCATCATATGAAAAACACGAAACTTCAATATCAGCTCGGATCTTCACGGCTTGTGGAGTCAGCCTTTTCCTGAAATGTCAATAATAAATTTTTTTCATTCATCTAATCGTTAACCTTTCTTTTAACTTCATTTAAATAAGAAATATATATGATGAAAAAAAGCTTAAAAAATTTACTTAATATCTATCAAAAGTTTTTCACGAATATCCGGTGTTATGTCGCACTCATCTAAAGCAGTTGGATCACTGATGGCTTTCTTAAAAATATCAAATGCAGCTCCTTTCCTCTTTAATTTTCTGTCGAAATACCATGCTGTTTTCTCATATAAGTCTTCCAGTTGCTTTTCAGAATCATAACCTAACTGATCAGCTACATGTCGAAGGATACTGAAATTGTGCTATTAAAAATACTGTTTGCGTATGCCATCGAAAATTAAGTCCAGAAGAAAAATAATTCTTCATCTTAGTAATTCCTCAGTAATCTTAGTAATTAAAAAAAAGATTAATAATTCTCAGTACCTTCTTTTAATAATTTTGAAAAATAATGCCGATCATTTCAATAAGATCATAAGCGGGAAAAATTATTGCATTAATTATTAATGCTTTAAACAAAGAAATATGAAAAAAGAAAAACATCTATAAAACATCATAAATCAAATAACATATGTTGGCAAGCAATTTACTCAAAATACTAGATTAACTCTTATGTAAATCAATTTATAATGAGTTTTAATTACAATATTTCCAATTTGGATATAAAAGAGATCTAAACATTAATTCGATTAAGTAAGTAGATCAGTACCTATTGACAGCTTTAGCTTTAGCAAATCGTTCTTCACACTGTATCGAATCCTTTGAATAAACTCGTCTTTTTGATAAATCAATATAACCTTTTTCCTTATCAACACGTATAACAACGACACACTCATTTCGACCAACTCGGATTAACTTATTCACTGAACGGATACGTCGCCGTGAAAGCTCTGATAGCAATATCATACCCTCTGTAATATAATGATGTTAATTAATTAAAACATTTAAATAAATGGATATCAGATTCAGTGTGCATTTATAAAACTATTACCACGTTTTTTGTTTACCATAATAACAACAACATTTACAGTCGCACAATAGGTATGCAAAATTTATGATACTATTGTTACACCGTCAAATTCCCTCACTATACACTTGAATTTTATACAGAATATATAATATCGGTACTATTTTGGAATATACCTATATTATTATATTCCAGCAGCGATACGTAGGCACCCATCTCGGCAATTTGCCGTATATTTACCATAACCGTATCCTCCACATCCGGAAATTGATTTGCATAAAATCGGCAAGACAATGGCATGTTGCCTTTCACAAATCTAAAACGAAATCATAAAAACACATAACCTTCATATATTTCCTGATTTCTTTCCAATCAATACTTCGAATCAAATATTCAAAGAACACATCTTAGTTTTCCTCTTACTACTTCTGCATACCTTTCAATTTAAAGAAAAATTCCCAACCTAGCATCTTAAAACCAGAAACTAAGTGGAACGAGAAGCTATTTCATCAACCTATAATACTGTGACAACATCATCATAACAGGAAGAAGCAATTTGCATATTACCTAATTCAAACAAAGTGATTTTTTTCCTTCAACCTTGTGTCTATTCCAGACCTACCTTACATGCCAACATAAATCAGACTATCCGAAATCACTTCAAATGAATTCAATAAAAAAGCTTGAAAATGTAAAATATATTGGCAGTTAATTAACCGCTCTATTTGTTTTAAAAATCCAAGCAAAAGTACAAACATTTTATAAAATTAAGCAAAATAAGAAAGTAACAAATTCATAACAACAGTAAGACAATAAAAAAATCAAATGTAAGAATCGTAGCACTAATATTAGACTGAATAAAAAATTGAATAAACTGCAAGAAATACTATTCAATCGAAATTATCAATACTACTCAAACATAGAAAATCTTATTTCGCTACACTGCTGGCATATTGAAGAGTGTATTTTGATTATTCGGCAAATACACAACATTTCGGGATTTCGCCATCCTTTCGGCTATTTCTTCTGCAGCTTCAATTTTTCTTAACTCAATTAAGCCATCACCAGCTTCTTTGAATGCCTACAATAATCTCGTTAATATCACTAAATAAAAGTATCCTATTCAAAAAAGTATGAACAAATGATATAATTCAGAAGCAGTTGCAAGGGTTGATTTGTTTTTTATATTACAAGATTATTATATTACTTAGATTATTATATTACTTATGCTTTTCAAAACTTTATTACTTATGATTTTCATAAAAATCAAAGTTATCGCACTAGGATGTCTATATAATTCATATAATAATATATATTTACATAATAATATATACATACATAAATTCCTTACCTGAGCTAAAAGTTTAGCTGCTTGTGCATCACCTTCTGCAGTTGTTACAGCTGCAACTTTCATTTGCTCTGCTGTTTCGACAAGATAACGAGCTTTTTCAGCTTCTTGCTGTGCAACTTGTTTCATCTCGACAGCATCTGTAAATTCCCGCCCGAAAGATAGATGCGTCTAAAAAAATTTCACAAATATTAAAAGCATAACTAAGAAACTCTATGCAAACTGCATAAACACAGGGAAGCACTGCATAAATATAATCCTTTACTACTGCCAAGATTATCATCTACTTCAGCGCGACATTCGATAGTAATTATAGAAAAGTGGATATCTCTATGCTGTTTTGTACTGTAAATAATGTAAAGGAATGAACTCGTTTTCTTAAATATCGATTGGCTACTATCATTCTATCATTACTTACCAGATATTTGAAGTAAATTTGAAAAAAAAAAGGTAAGAGATAAAAAAAATCACGTCAAACTTACAATGGCAATATCATCTAATAAAATGCCAAACTGTTTCGCTCTTTCTGATAGTTCAAGAGAAACTCTATGACTAACACTTTCTCGTTGTGTGATCATTTCATGTGCATCGAACTGAGCCTAAATTAAACATGAATGTTCTAGCAAAAGTACAACTTTTGGAAGTAAATTCCCTTCGAAGAAGTTAGAGGAAAATTATACATTCTGCTAGATAATGACAATTTATATATATGGTAAGTAATTATAATGCAATAAAAATAGCAAATATTAAAGAAGCCAACTATAATTTAACAATTTAGACAAGAAATTTGGTTGAAGGAAATATTATCTCTTTTAGCAGCCTGCATACATCCTTCTCTTCTGCTAAAGAAAAACCAGATATATTTTAATATGCAACACTAGCAAATAAAAATAGTGTTAAGTGGTTTAAAAATACAATTACTTACAACAACAGCTTTTAAAACTTCATTTGTAATTGAAGGTAGCACTCTTTCTGCATAATCACGTCCAATATTCAAATATATATTAGGTAATTTGCCCGGCTCGGGTCGATGCAAAATTCTCAACGTTATTTGCACATTTTGCAGGTCTAAAATAAAAACTGATAGAAAAAATCATTCCATCTAGTTATGTTTTCTTTAAAAAATTTATATAGTATTTGTATATATAGATGTTTTCTTTAAAAAAATTTATATAGTATTCTTTAAAAAATTTATATATAGAAACTTTCAGACTATGTCACTTATAATGCATGAGAATTTATTCATTCCTTTTAAGCGCTTTTCCTTATTCATCAAATCTATCTTAAAATCATGAAGAGAAAAACAACCGACCTTTACTTCCTGTAATCGTGGAGACAACTCGTGGAGTTGACCGAATATCAAAAATAATTGGTTTTTGGATTCCTGGAATCAGCATATGCGTCCCTTCGCCGATAACGTCAGGTTTTACACCAGTAAAGCGATCGAAGATTACAGCTCGTTGTCCACCATCAACTGTAAAAATAGGAGATTCAACCCCAATTTCATTTTTTTTTTAAATTCTCAGAAAAAGCTCTCTTTCCATTTCTATAAAACATTTCTAAGACTCTCAATATGAAACAGCTGGACAACAGTTAATAAACAAAAAACAAACCTAATGGTTTTGACTTTTCATTTTTTACTTTTTCTTTTTTTTATCCATTAAATTTTCAACATTTGTCTGTTTCATGTACCAAATCTTCTGTACCAAAATCTTATTTCATTTATTAATAAAATTTTGGATTTTCTAAAAATTTTCTAAACTTCTAATTAGCCAATGAATTTATAATATTCAAAAATAGTGATGCCTAAAAAATGGTTGATTCAAGATGCTAATCAAAAGATGCTAACGCAAATTATATTAATGTATGATTATTTGATTAACCACCTATTTATAAAATTATCACCACTCAACATTCCACCATTTATTATTGCATTCGAAACACTAATAAAGCTAAGAAAACGCATTAAAAAAAAAAAAAAAAAGAAAAACCGTTATATAATGCCTTCGATACAACACCAGCACCAACAGCCATCGTAGCTCCAAGTTGGATTAAACGTTTCATCAATTTTTCTCCTACTGTTGCCATTTTTTCTCCTCTAGAATAAAAGTCAACTATTCTTAACTGAAATTATGGTTCATATAATAACGCAATATTCGTCCATTCGAAAAAGTTTAACTCAAATTAACACAGAAACTTATGATTCGTGATATTTTTAACAGTTAATAATATACTTCAGACTAAAGCAACAAAAAATATAACAAAATGGAAGTATTTAACTTTTCCTCTCCTATATCATCACATAAACTATCATATCAAAAAAATGAACATATAAACCGGAAGAAAATTCCTCGGTAAACAGAAACCATTTTATTGTGATTCTGTTTCTTTTATCTTTCCTCTTGTAATAATACAAATTTCACCCCAAATTTAATAGATGTTTAAGTGCCACACAAAAAACTGTGCAATTTATATTGGACTTGAAATTGTTAGTCATCGTGTAAAAACTTTGTAAAGCAATCCTAACAATGAAAACAATTGGTTACTTCCACTTATTATTATACAAAAAACTTGTCCATAACAAACAAAATAAGTCAAAATAACAAACTGTTCCAGAAACAATTAGAAAGAGAAATTACTTCAAAAAATACAGTGTTAAATATTTAAAAATCTTTACTACTAAGAAGAAGAATAATTAACATTAATATCAGAAAATGTGACATGTAATTGATTCGGCAAAAATAATTTGTAAAAATCAATAACTTTTGAAAGTTAGAATACAAAACAGTCGGACTGGTGGCTTTCATTTATTATTAAACACGAAAGCTATTCCTTAGCATAAAAATTTGAGGATGATAAATTAGTCCTAGCGAGTAAATGAATTTATTTACATTAAAATGATTAGTATATAATTTTTAGAATGATAATTTTTCAAGAACCTGAAATGATTAATTACATAATAATGATAAAACCTTCTGAAAAGTCAATTCAAACAATGATTTTCATCATAAGAGAAGAGCCTAGCACGTCATCCACGAGGTATTTTACATATATATTTAAATACACTTCAATAAATTCATGTGCTATCAATCAAAAATTTTGAACATAAGAAAAAGTAAAAGTTCGAAAAAGTTTAACCAACTACTCGACTTCATCGAGAATAGATAAAAAACGCAAGTGATGATAAGAAAATTTCTTAGCCTGGGATTTCATTTTCATATTTCTGGTCTGAAACGATTTGATGATTTGGTTTTTGGGATGTTAAATTGGGCAATGGATGAGGTGCTTACGTGAGCGGTTGGGGTAAAGAGTTTCACGTGTGGTGGGTGGGGTAGTGAAATGTGTTACGTGTACTGACCAGGGAAAGTATATCTTGCGTGTAATAGTTAGAACAAGTATGTGTCATATATAGCAACTGGGTTACGTGTACTTATGTATAGCTCGGCTAGAATATCTAGTAGTTGGAAAGTGAGTACACCACGTGTAGCTGCTACTAGAATGTGCACTGTGAGGCTTGCGTTCCTTACATTTTAAGTTTATTATTTATGAGGTAATACATTGGTAAATAATTTGCCCTGGATGTTATCTACTGTGTAGTTTCGCTCTTGAAGTTTTTGCGATGAAATTTTAAATAGTCTGCAAAGAATTTAAATCAATCTTTTTTCTTTCACAGGATTTGGATGGCTACATCAAAGAAAAAGACAAGGAAGCTAAGAGGTCACGTATCACACGGACATGGACGTGTCGGAAAACATCGTAAACATCCAGGTGGTAGAGGTAATGCTGGTGGACAACATCATCATCGTATCAATTTTGACAAATATCATCCAGGCTATTTTGGAAAGGTTCCTTATTGTTTATTTTTATGTAGTAATTTATTATCTTCCTTTGTTAGAGGAAAGTGGGAATAGTTTATTCCTTTTTCAATTGCAGTTTCTTTCTTTTCTATTTCCTGCTCTATTAGGAATCAGTGTTTCCGTCATAGCGCATGTAATATTTAATTTATTGGCTTTACAAGTGATAGGTAGTTGTGTCTTTGATATCTTTAAAGATTTTTAAACTAGCAATGATTTTCGGCTTTCTTTCAAAAATAGGCAGATTTTATTCTATCTGAGAAATGTTCAACAATTACGATACAAGTAATTTACAAATAGGTAAAGGCTTAATGTCTGGAAGTTCATAGATAACCGGATGATAATAGATAATCTGCTACAGGTGATATTTTTTTACACATCTAAGTAATATTTTAGGCGCATTAAATAGCTTTTTAGGTTGGTATGCGAAATTACCATCTGAGACGTAACCGACTATACTGCCCAACAGTGAACGTTGATAAGCTGTGGTCACTGATATCGGAGAAGGTGCGAAAAACTTATGCGGATAGGAAAGATAAGGCACCGGTAATCGATGTTGTCCGAGCTGGTTATTTCAAAGTTCTTGGCAAAGGCCTCCTGCCGAAGCAGCCTGTTATAGTCAAAGCAAAATTTTTCTCACATTCGGCAGAACAGAAAATAAAGGCAGTAGGTGGTGCCTGTGTATTGGTTGCTTAAGAATTATTATGTTTTTTCGCTCTGTATTTGTTAATGTTTCCATAAGATTAAATATTATGAATTAAAAAATGCTTTCCTGATTTTGTCGTTTATTCGACATAAACTTTTATTTATTACTGTTACTTATGTGTATAGGTTCGATATATAGACTTAAAAGATTTATCCTGGAAATTTTACGATGTTTATTATGGAATTGACAGTTGGAATGTTGATGTTGTATCCACATCTACTCTTGGTACTCATAATGGTTTTTAAGTAATCAGATATTAGGAAGATTTTGGCGAAGAATTTGAAGATTTTTTTCCAGGAAGTTTTAGTGGATTGCAGAAAGATTACTGACTTGAATAGATTTAATCTTCCTTTGTATGTTGCTTCAGACATAGTGCATTGTTCTCAAATAGAGCTAAGGCTTGATAGCGACGTGCACTTACTAGAGAGGAGAAATGGCAAACCAAGAATTAGCATGCGTCTATGCAGCACTTATTTTGCAAGATGATGATGTTGCAATCACTGGTGATAAAATTTCAACCATCTTGAAAGCTGCACATGTTGATGTGGAACCATTCTGGCCAGGATTATTTGCTAAGGCCTTGGAAGGAGTTGATGTGAAGGTATGCATAGGTATTCATAGTTTTTATTGCAATCGTTTTGATTTTTTTACCGATAAGGCGAGGGTTGAGATCGTTTCCCAACAAAAATTATTGCTTTATGAGGACAGAGATATAGATGTGTCATTTGTTTTTTGTTTTTTTGGAACCCAAAGATCTGGTTGCATTGTCACAGATTTCTAGATTTCCTTATCATTTTACATTGTTATCTTTTTAGTCGTTGATAACTAACATTAGTTCAAGTGTTGGTAGTGGTGGTGGTGGTGCAGCAGCAGGAGTAGCGGCACCTTCCGCAACAGCAGCAGCGGCAGCACCTGCAGCAGCTGCAGAAGAGAAAGAGGACAAGAAGAAGGAAGAGCCAAAAGAGGAATCAGATGATGATATGGGTTTTGGTCTTTTCGACTAAAATTCGCATTATGTTGTTACTATTTTGAATCACAAATTTGTTTATTTCTCTGCTTTTGGCTTTGGTAATAAAATTATACACAAGCATCATTTGGAAGTAGAATCTTTTCTGCAAGGCACAATATAGGAGAATCACAATTCACATTTCAAAAATAATGAGCTACTAGCTGTGTTCCGAAATTTGGTTGTTATGTATGACAACAATTCATTTTTCAAGAAGTAGATGTAGAGATAGGAAGTCAAGCAAAATTAGGAGAAGTTATGGGTATTTTTTCTTATCGTTAAACTTTTGTAGTAAAGTGATATTATACTAGGTTTAATTTCAGAGGAATACAAGTTTAATATTCATTTTTCATTAAAAAGTTCATTGCTGTGACTTGAAGAGAGTGAAGTTAATTCTTAAAGAGATGATTGTAATTTTTCATTTCATGTTTCTCGCTGAGCCACGCGTAAAATTTTTGACAAAGAAGTATGTGATCAATTCTAAATCCCAAGATTTTGAAAGCAGAAATGTTAATGAAATTCATAGTCTTCTTTGTTACTTTAATGCTTATAATTTTGAAAAGTTCGGGCATGCTGTAGATTACTATTGTTTTGACTTGATAAATATTTCTCACTGAAATATTTTGTCAAGACAAAGCTTAGTGCACTTTAGACATTAAGGCACATAATTTTCCTAGATGAAAAGATGAAAATTAAACTGAATCAATCCTTCTACGAATTAGTCGAGCAGAATGCTTTGGTCGTTCCTTTCGTATAACTGACATTGGCACAAGTTGAGTAATACGAATTGGTTTTGATGTTGATTGTATGTCTCCTGCAAATGGATTGAATATATTAGATAAAATTCCGATTAAACAATTTTTAAAAAAAATACATCATTTAATAGATGCTGTAAAATAGATTCAAAATAACTGAATGATTTTAAAAAAGAAAAGAACAAGTAATTTGTCTGCTATTATCAGTGATACCATTCATATCGAACATTTCATCTGTTTGTACACTTGCTGTCTTTTTTGAAACTTCCGACGATGATACTTCAAATATTTGCGGATATTTCATCTTTACCAAATCAATGGATGTATGAGATAAACTATCCATTGGACTAATCATATTTCGTAGACACTGCAAATAATTATAATTTCAAAATTATTTATACTATGAAACCTGAAAATTTAATAAATTCGAAGAATTTAAAACAAAAGATTTAAATTATTTCAAATTAAAAAAAAAAAGAAATTTTATTGAGCTATCTTTTTATCATTTATAAATTTTGCAATCAAATAAATTAGAAAATTATATTTATTTAATTAATTGAAGAAAGAAAAAAAATTTTTTACCTTTTTTCGTTTATTTTCTTCATTTCCATTTTCTGAATTATTTATCTGATTGATAGTTGCTTTTTGTGATGAAATAATCATTTGATCATTTTGTTGCTTATCATTTTGTGCTACTACTTCAATTACATTTGCATCATTAATTTTCTCATCTTCCGAAATAGTTGAACTAAAAAAAAAAAAAAAAT